AAAGAAAGAAAGAAAGAAAGAAAGAAAGAAAGAAACGGAGGGAGGAAGGAAGGAAGGAAGGAAGGAAGGAAGGAAGGAAGGAAGGAAGGAAGGAAGCAGCTAGACATGTATATTACAGCTGTGTATGTAAGTTAATGCCCTGTCAGGTCCAGAGGCATGTGCAAAATGTTCAGAGGTTGAAACGTTTTGTTCTCGCGTTGTTAGGAGTCTTCTGGTCTCAAAATCTACTGTTCCAAATTCTGTTTTGCCCTCAGAATGATTGGTTCCAACATTTTGGGTGACTTGGGACGGTTTGGGATCAAGCGTTTCAACCTTAACCCCCTTTCCACACCTCTAATTGGATCAGGGCAAAGGTTGACGTGCTTCATATTTTGGAAGCCAGATGTTTCAGCGGGGAAAATACTGCATGAAAGGAAAGTTGGTGGGCAACGATCAGGTCTTCTTGGTGTCCCTGAAGAAAATCCATTGTGTGTGTGTGTGTGTGTGATCTGCTGCCTTCCAACTCTATCCTCCCTCCATTTCTGACCTTGTCAGGAAGTTCTGTGCTTAAGTTGTTATAGCATTTTCCTAAAAGTGTGGCTTCAGATGACGGCATAATTCAGGTTTTCCCTTACGTTGTGGCGGCTGCAGGAGTTTCTTTTCATCAGTTATGGGGAAGTGGAGATCAAACTGAGATTAAGTTGAGGAACCCAGACTTAATGAAGGTTTTTAGCTTCTACCAATCCAGGAAAGCTGACCAATTAAACTTGCTAATGGACTCTTGCTTCTCGCCTCCCCCCCGCTTGTTTTCCAGTCATGCTACCAGCTTATCCAGGAGATAAGACTACATCTGTGTGACTCCTGAAAGATGACACACCAGAGTGATTTGAGGTCATCAGCCTATGGCAGTTTGAGAATTTATTCCGATAACGCAAAAAGACGGGACTGGACATAGTGGCTGCTATTGTTTTTTTGTTTTTAATTAATATTTGTCTTTCCTATGGGAAGCACGTTCATTCTTTTAGCTGGCGATTTCTCTGAAATTGAGTCAATGACGACCAGAGATTGTTGGAAACTGAAAGAAAAGAGATACAGACCTACAAGGGGGTTGGAGTAGAAGACCTCCAAGGTCTCCAACTCCAACTCCAACCGTATAATTCTATGATTCTACAAAGGGCTGATGGACCTTCCATTTTCTGATAAATGCACAGAGAGCCTCTGCCCGTTCTCCCCAATAAGATCTGCATCATTTTTCAGACCCAAGACAGCAATCTGGGCTTAGTAGGAACAGATCTTCAGCCTTATTTTGGTCCATGACATGTTTAACCCATCACACTCCCTTTTTATTTCTCTCTTAAATGACCATCCATTTCTTCCACAGTGTTTATAATTTCCCAGGGATAAAACAGTATTACAGCTCACGACACATTGCAAAATCACTTTGGGTTATTATATTTGTGGGGTAACCAATTAACCAAACATTTTTTAATCCGGATCCCTGCTGCAGACTAACCTGTCTTGAAAGGGTTCAACATCTACCTGCTACAGCAAGGTAACCTATACTCACGAAAAACCTGCATTTTGGGTTTCCTTGGCCCACCATGAATGAATCATTAGCCCTCGTGCTGTTATCCCACTGAAATAAGAAGGAGATCCAAAATAATATAGTGTTTTCTGTTTTCTTTGCACTTTACCTTCCATTTCCTTAAAGCTGCTAACATCTCATGGATGTATTTTTGCTGATCAAACCGCACCCAATCCTTTTGAACAGCTGGAAAGGGCGGCAGGATTTTTTTGAGGGCCTGCAGTCAATTGAGAGCAAAAGTGGGAGCATTTTCCTCCATCTTGTTTCATCATCACTGCCGCTTCTAATGTTGACACTAATGACAATGGAAGAAACAGGATCCTATGGATCCAGGCAGTTAAGAATCTTTGAGTAGATCCACAGACGGGATTATCGAGAGGGAAGAAAACTTAATTATGAGGTTGCAAAGAAAGATGTGGAGATCTTCTAGACCGGGTGGCTAGAACAATTGAAATCTCTTCATGGATGCTTAATTCTTTTTTATTTTTGCCACAGACTTGGTTTTGAAAGAGTAGCCTGGAGAACAGACAAGCTCAACGTCACACATGATAACCCTTTAGCCTGTTTTCCACGCAGTCAACTTCTTTTGAGTACTGAGTTGATGCTTTTCCAGCAATGAGAAATATAACACTAATTTTATCTAATTGACCTGAGAATAATTTCTGGTCTCTTTTATGAATTATTGAACGGGTTTGATATGCTTTTTTTAAAAAAAATAGTAATAAACTGCCTAACATCCCCAATCGTGACCTTGTTTATGGAATACACCAGATAAAAGTGGACGCAAACTTCAGATAAGTACAAACGACCTTACCTAGAGCAGCGTTTTATTCTGGAGGCATTTTTGCACCGTGCGAAAGTGAGACATCTGCTCAAAAAGAATCAGATCATGGGCTGGTCAAATCGAATGTTCCTTTTCTGACCAGGGATCCTAATCCTTGCTTTGGCTCTGAATCCCTTTTGAAATTGTGGGAGGGGGCGAGAGGGAGGGGGCGGCCTGGGAGAGCCGGAGCAAAGCTTTGGCCCTTCAGTTGGCGCAAGCAGGGGAGCCACTGGCACTACCAAGCCCCCCAGCCACCCCTTCATGACTAAGCCCACAGCCCTGCCCAAATTTGCAGGGCTTCCCTTGGCTACTGAAGAGTTCTTCCTCCCTCTCCAAAACATGGATCTCCTAAGGCTTCTCTCCCGGGTGCCAAAACTGGCACAATACCTCCGGGTGCAAGTGGCAACGCAGCATCCTCCAGGCCCTTTGGCCCAGATGGATAGGGGGTGACCCTTATATTACGGAGTCCTCTGTTACCACGTTGTGGTTTTTGTTATACGTTGCCCAGAATCTTGATTCAGTAGGCCAAGTCATAAGCACCCGTTTTGTTAATTTGTTAGCTAGTTAATTTTGTCTGTTAGCATGCTGTGGAGCTTTGACAACCCCAAATGAGGGATTCTGCTTAAGGGGAACTAAGAAGGCGGTCTAAACAAAAACTGTATAATACACCCTCACTTTCTGAATCTTCTGAACCCTTGCCACCATTAGGGAAAAGTTTTCTCAACTTGCCATAGGTACCTGCAAGGCAACTACTCCATTAAAAATAGCTTTATTCTGGAAAAACGACTAGGCCATCCTGGTGGATCCAGTGTGAATCTGCTGCCACTCAGAAGACCGTCATTGCACACTAGTGGGGTCACACTCCTGGCTTCAAACAGACCTCATCTCACTTGGGCAGAAAGTGAGCCGGTGGGATTTGGCCAGAAACGTTTTACACACAACCTTCTCTTCGCCCTGTGGCATTTTCAGCCCCAACTCGAAAGCGACCACTTGAAAGGACCAGAAGAACCAAGGATGCTTAATTTATTTATTATCCTTTTTTTTTTCAATGTGCAGTTTTATCAAGATCTCCAGACACTCTGGCAAAACACTCAAGGACTGAGTAAACCAGCTCAGGGTTAAAATATGCCCTGCTAGGAAAGGTCCAAGTTCAGCGGGCTATAGCCAAGAGGAAGAAAAGCATTCACAAGGAAGCCTCTACAGTTGGGGTGCTCCTACAGACACTCCCACAAGGACACCCTGTGAGAAGTTTCGAGCCCTTATGGACAGCGCGGACTAGTTATGCTTAGCCATAGCATCAGTGTTAGTATCCTACAACTACTGCGCTGGGAGGAGTGGTGGCCTTGAGACTAGAACGCTCTTCCTTCCTTCCTATGTGCTCATCCCAGCGCCAAGGGGGTTCATACTAAAATATACCCCTGCTAAACTTTGTGTTGTCTTGCTTTTTGAAAGGAAGGGCCCCCCTTCCTCCAAGCAAACGGGACTGTGGGAGGAGCACATGGAGAACTCGTCTGTTTCCCCTTGTCCACGGCTTTGAGGGCCACCTCCTCCGATCCCCAAGCAAGTTCCCTTTCCTTTCCCCCACTGACAGCTTGAGCAGGCTCCATGTTCCCCCACCGCATCTGATCCAGGAGGCAGGGAGAACATTGGACGTCAGAGGGAACTGGGGAAACACCAATCCCGATCGTTGCTGAAAAGCCATCTGGTGCTCTGGTCCATGACGAGAGTTGGAGGAAGGTGGCCGGGCCTTGATTCCCCTCCTCCTCGTCCCTTGAATGTTCCAGGGATGGTTGGGCTGCGTGGGTGGAGCTACTGAGAACGTCTCTGTGATCCTCGGCGAAAAAAGGAAAACGCCAACCCTGATTTTGAAAGCATCTTGTTTTTGCAAGAACTCAAAGCAGAAAGGCAGAGCGGGAGCAGCCCCCGGAGCCGAGAACTAGCGTGGCTTGTGGGAGAAGAGGGCACCCTTGTTCAGCTGCCACTTGTGCCACCTAAGCCCGCCGAGCCACCTTTGCCCAGTCCCTGAAAGTTGGGTGCTAAGCCTGAGCTTAAAATTCCTGACTGCCGCCTGATGTTCACACTGCACAGACTGAGGAAAATGGCATAAAGCAAGGAAGACGCGGTGCTTTTGTTCTCTTGCCATCTGCATGCTCTACCCGAAAACTCTTTTTCATGGGCCAAAACTAAAACGAAACAAAACAAAACAGGGGCACTGAGGGTATAAGCCTATATATATTTATCCAGAATTCAGTTCTATGGAATTCAATTAGGCAAGAGTGCATGGGATTAACCCCTAAAGGAAATACCTAGGAGTGACTAAGAGTAGTCCTATGCTGCATGAAGCTAGTTTTCAGTGAGCAAATGGATTATCACCCCCAAATTTTACTTTGGGAATGCTTTCCCTTTTTAGCTATTGCCAGTTTCCTACAGACTTACATTCTCTGGAAGTCCACCACTGCCTTGCCCATTCCCCTCTGAAAAATTCCCTGGGCTGGCAACCTCTAAAAGGGGTGACTGAAAAATAACATTCACATGCACCCAGCTTGCAATGGAAGGCTGTTTGCAACTGGTTAAAATCAAAAAGAGGGCAGGGGGGAAGGCTAGAGAAGTGCTGTATCTATTGCTGCTTTCAGACGGTGCAGGAGCGCCTGCGGAGGTGGCGAAAGGGTGTCAGGGTTGAGTTTCCTGAATTCCTCGTTGGCGTTCAAGGAGGCCAAGACCTTTGCTGTCCTTTTCAGGTCAAAAACCGCGTGCAACATCCCCAAACTGGAGATAGCCGCCCTGTACGAACGCTTGGAGGCATCTTCTTCGGTGTGGTGGTGCTCCAGCACAAAAATCCGATTTTCTGCAATGATCTTCAGAAAGTTGTAAAACTCCTTGTAGTCGATGCCTGTGTATGATTTCATAAGCACCTGGAAAAAGTCAAAAAAGAGGTCCTGGGTTCCGCTAGCTCTGCCAGATTGCCCGGAAAAATGGACACTCAACTACGCTGAGCTGAATGGGGTCGTTCGAAGCTCAGGTCTATCTTCGCTCACACCAAGAGGCTAAGCTACAGCGATGTTCTCGGCTTCCTATTCTAATATATCCTCTATCTTTCTGAGTTGTCTACAGAAGTTAATTCTTTCCACAGGACCATTTACTGGGCATAGGAATGGCCCCGAGAGAGAGAGGAGGGCACACGCTGCATTTCTTAAAGGTGACCACAGGGTCAAGGGAACTCTGATCCTGTTAGCCTTTCGCAAGGCGTTGATGACCTGGCTGTTTCCCCAGGCCTTTGGGTCGGGGGGTAGATGAGGACTTCTGCTATCGATGGTGAGAGGGGTTAACTGCTTATCCTTAAGCACTGAGTGGGTGGGT